ATTTTTTGGTTGCCTCATCTATAATATGAAGGCCTTAGCATCGCCAAATCCAAAGCTCGCCAGAATTGTCAGCCTACACTCTGGATACAAAATATACGGCAATGTCTAAATTATTCATTCTTAAACATTATCTCTGTGAAAGTTGCCTCAATGTCCTTTGCATCAGAAAATAAACACTAACAATCTCGAGAAAATATAGAATAGAGAAAACAAAAACACATTGAAAACAAACAAACAATTAAAAACCCATAAAACACAAAAAAGAACTTGGGAAAACAAAAACAAAAAAACACTTCTCAGAGACTCTTGGCTAGACCCCCCCCTTTCCTCAAGATTTCCCCAGAATGGTTTTTGTTTTTTTGTTTTCCCTATGTTTTTTGTTTTTTCCTAGATTGTTATTGGTCTTCTCAAGGTTTTTTGTTTTTTTGTTTTTCCTTTTTAGGTCAATCTATGTTCTTATTATTTCGTTCAATCTTCAAATATGTGAGCCTAAGTCTCACCTAAAAAAATATATATTCTTTGTTCTTACAATGAAAGCGTCTGAGCCCATCACTCGCTTTATCCTTGTCGAAATCTCCATATACAAGTCTGTGCATTAACTTCTGGTGATTGCAAATTGCATGTCCAATCAATTTGATATAACATTATAATGATATTTTCCAATTTACATGAAATGATTATGAATCTATGTAAACTATAGTTCTAATTCATTCAATATTTGTTATTTTTGCTTCGGCTTTATCTAATTTCGAATCCTCCTCGATTTATGCATCTTGTAGCTCAAGCATTTTACATAGAATGGCGAAATTCTAATTCTAATTCCTTTCTATTTCAATTTTCAATATTAATTCAATTCTATCTTAATTCTAATTCAAATCCCATTTCTACCTAATTCTATATTAATCCTAATCTATTTAATTTAAGAAAACACATATTATAAAACCCCGCATTTTTTGCCCAAAGAATATTAAGAACAATATTAAATCTATTTTTTTACAATACATAAATTAATTTATTCTTTTCTTTATTCTAATAATTAAAAATTATATAAATATATTAAATTTGTGTTATATAAAAATTTTTAATTCAATACCTTTCCTTTAAATATCTAGGAATAATTATTTCTATAATAAATATATATAAACAATTTCATTTCAACACCATTCCTCTAAATTTCTAGAAATAATCATATCAATTTAAATATATTATATACTAATAGATATATTGCTTTAAATAATTCCTATTTCATAAAAAAAATATATATAAAATATCTATGTTCCCAAAAATCCATTCCCAAAAAAAATTTTTCCATAAAAATCTAAAATGAAATTTTCAATATATAAAATATTTATATAATTAACAATAATTATGTATAGAGATCTATAATTAATCATATAAATAATGATTTTTTTTTTCCAAAATTAAATATAATTAATAAATATCTAAAAATATTTTTATAATCTATAATGTTCCTAATTATTTTATTCAAAACCATTTAATATTTTTTATTTTCAATATATTAAATTAATCCTAATTCAAAAGCAAAAAATAACAAAATAATACCTAAAATTTTAGAAAATTATATAAATATATATATATATTTAATTCAATATTATAATAATATTATATAAAATAATTCAACAAAATATTACAATATTAAAAATAGAATTAATATATATATATTATATATTGTATATTTTATATATAATCAAAAATAGTATATTATTGATTCATACCGATTTCCCATAAAAGATTATAAAGGTGGATGAACAAATAATAGAAATGAATTGAATTAGGACAAAAATAGGAATAAGAAATGGATAGGATATCCCCTTTGAAATTCATATGGCTACTTGGTAGCACCATTTCATACTATAGATCCACGCCCCCCATGTGGGGGTCTCTATAAAATCATGCCCCCCAACTCATGCGCACGCTATAGAATCAAAGCCCCTATGTCGTGAAGTGAAAGCTCACGGAAAGTATGTATGAAGTTTTCAACACTAAAGAATCACAACCCCCATCTCACAGACCGATTCCTTATAATGCTATATGTGCTTGCTTTTTCATCATGAGCCTTCCCCGGGAAAGTTTTTTCATCATGAGCCTCCCACGGGAAAGTTGACAGAGCGCAAAGTTGAAAGAACAGAGAAAAGGTGAAAGAGCACTCAAAAAATGACTGTCACAAAAAAACACTCAAAGATCCCCCTTGGAATTTCAAGGTGAACTTGGATGGACAATTCTCTACTTAGAAAAAACGGGGCATTCACTTTTGTCTAGTAAATGGTTTTGGCCAGGTAAAAGCACTCTCTAGAAAATGCTAGGCATTCGAGAAAACTAAATATAAAACAATTTAAGACCTTATCTGGATGAAGTGTTGCCTCTGGGGAATGGTCTTGTACAGGTTCCCATCGTGCATAAAATGAGACAAGTGTAAAACCAGAAATGCATTTTCTAGAGGTGCCATGGAAAGGGATTTTTGAACAAGGGCCGAATATTAAAGTAACCATTTCCTAGAGATTTTCAGTCATCAATGAAAATTATGAAAAAATATCAAGCAACCAATTTCTAGAGCGTAAGATCTTGTACAACATTGAATCGATTCCAATCATATGCAATCAGCATCTATCAGCTTTGACGTGCACATACATACACGACACAGCAAATTATAGCAAACTTGTTTCCACCCAATCTTTGCTTCCGAATGCTTCCGAGCTTTTTCAGGACAATCATTTTGCACCGTACTGTTTCCATATCAAGCAGTTGTCTCTAGAACATGGTTTCCTTATCAATTTTTTGTGTGTTGCCAACTGTCTAGAAAATGCTCTTGTACCTATTTTGGTATCCTACTTTTTCAAGCACAAAACAACTACAGATTTCCTCTAGGAATTATCAAACAGCAGACTGTGTCATCCACTAAAAAACCTGCTTTATAGAAAATGGTGGGGCTCCAGCAATATATGGGGGCATGCCTCACTAGAAAGTGACCCCTTTTCTACGGAACCTGGGTTGAACCATTTCCTAGAGGAAATTCCAGGGGGGATGCTCAAAGGTTGTTCCTCTATTGAATCATAATCAGTCAATGACCATCAACATGTCTGCCACTAAGAAATCAAAGTCCCCATGTCACCAGTACAAAGCTCACGGAAACATAGATCTCAGGGTCCTATCACTTTAGAATCACGACCCCCAGGTCAACTAGGTCAAATTGCACCCTTGTCGGAAACTTCCCGTGGTATCTCGTGGTCTCCTTTTAGAATCAAGGAACCTGAGTGTCTCAATTCTATAGTGCTATAAAATGGGTGCTCGGGAGTACCCAGGTAGCACCAATCTGTAGGAGGAATTTTAAAGGGGATGATAGGATAGAATTTTTTGCTATACGGCGCCGATCGGGGGTCGAGCCACCGATAAATGATACCGTCCTGCAACCGTTGCTTTAGTGAAGCCTCCAACTGTACGGTGACTTCCCGCGCATGCTATCATCCACACGATAACTGCAATTTTGGGAAACTCGGAACTTTCTCTTCGAACCGTCCATCTCTTCTGCATTGTCTTCGTTCATAGTCGGGTTCAACTTTTTTGCCCAAGCAAATGGACGCTTAGAGTGAGGCGCTCCAATTAGTTGCACATCGTCGCCAGATTCTGATTCTCTTCGTTTGCGTCCTGGGGTGGCTTGAGCGCCAATCAATGAGGGGCAAACCAGCAAGCACGATTGAATGAGGAGCTGTTCAGCGGTGGTGTTGAATTTAAACTCCAAACTGAGCTAGTGCAGGTATTTGCTCGCCATCGACCCCTTCAATGCAGACTTCAGTCAAGACCTTCTTCAAGACCTATATATATTCTATGCCCAGGAGTACCACAAATCAGTTGAGAGTTGATTTAGTGGTCGATATGTAGCCGATTTAAGACAAACTTTGCTTGGGCCTGGGCATAGCAATCAGCGCAAGCAACAACGGTTGCCACAAACAAATTGCAAATTCGTAGCATGCAGCCTGCCCCCTTCCCTCCTGCCACTTGCAAAGCCTCAGCGCTCTGCAGCGCCTCCGCACCAAAGGAGTTGCCCAAGGCGCTGCCACCGTCGCTGCTTTGCACGGCCGGTCTCGTACCGTCCACGGCCCGAGTGGCCTCGACCGCCCGCCGCTCCACGGCACGGAACATGCGCTCGTCCACCTGAGGGGGAAGTATCACTGGAGTGCACGAACACCAAGGTAATCGAAGTCTTACTAGTAGGAGAAGCAGCAGTAACAGCAGCAGCAGCAACCACGAAACACCAGCAGCGAGCAGTGAGCAGCAGCAGCAGCAGCAACCAGCAGCAGCAGCAGCAGCAGCAGCAACCAGCAGCAGCAGCAAGCAGCAAGCAGCACCAGCGACAGCAGCAAGCAAGGAGCAACAAGCAGCACAGCGGCAAGCAGCACAGGAAGGAGCAAGCAGTACAGCAAGCAGCAACCAGCAATAGACCACAGATTGCGATAGACCACAGTCGACAAGCCAAATAACTCCCAAATTCTGAGCGGCGCAGGGTGGAGTCGAATTGCCCCCCCAACATTTAAAACCTTGTCTAAAGCCATCGAAATCAAGCACAGGAACCGTTCACCACCCCCAATCCGGCCAGGGGCCCGTCATCGGGCCCGGCACTGCGCAGGGTTCCGCCCCCTGTGCTTTACAGTGTTTTTTGCGTTCGACGTTCACAAACATCGCATTTTACAGTGTTTCGTGCGCTTGGATGGGGTCAGAGTCGATCTTGGCCATGTGAGGGGTTCCGAGGCGGAAAAAATCGCATCTGATGCGTATGCCAACATAAATGGTCCAAAATACCCCCAACATAGCTCCAAACATATGCCCAACACGGACGCACAAATCTATAAATGCGTGCTGCACCGGCGTGCATGACCTGCATCGTGTGGTGGGCCCCTCAACCACGACCGCAACGACACCAACCACAACCATCTGCTACAACAACGACCACGACAACAACAACCACCACCACCACCACGACGACGACGACGACGACGACGACGACGACGACGACGACGACGACTAGTGGTGGGCCCGTGGCCGGCTGTCGGGCGTCAGCCCTTAATGACTCAGGTAGCCGAAGCTACCTTTCGTGAAATGGCAGCAGAATACAAAAATGCTTGGCTGGCTGTCAGCTTGGATACGCTTCCAGGGGCCACGAGGTACTGAACGTTGACCATGTTGGCCTAGCAGGTGTGCCCCCATCATAGGAAGTCATCGCTTTTCACTAATCACTAAAACAAGTGGTATCTGCTGGTTGTAGGATGCTTCTGAGATTCTGCGATGGCTACCTTGGACTTATTAGCACACCTACTCAATCTTGCTTTCATCCTAACTGGGGGCAAGGATGGACAAAGACCACGATGTCCTGCGACCTGCAGAGTCATCACTTCCTCAATTGGAAGATCCATGTGGGTTCCCCTTTGATGTCCCGCTGCCGCCTGTCCCAAACGATGGGCACGGTCCTGGTGAATGAGGAAAGAACAGGTGGGCGATCGGAAGCAGGAAAATGGATGAAAAAGGTGGTGCAAAACCTCGGCAAAAGCAAGGTTTACAGCAGAAGGGCGCTGTGCATGGCCACCGGCCACCTGTTAAAAAGGCATGGCACCAAATGCACATCGTGAGTCACCAAATGACCAAATGCACATGGAGGTGCACCCTGAAAGGATCGACCCGTCCACTCCTCGGCTTGCAGCAGGACGCCTGGCACCCAGTAAAGCTCCTGCCCCCCGCGCAAGAAAATGCACTGTCCACAAGAGTACAAACCTCATTGACTCGTGGAACGGATCCTCAGGCAATGGAAAGCCCTGACTAGTCTGTGAAGGTGAGACAAGAAGATTGGAGGACTGGCTGGCTTTTATTTTTGTAGCTTGGCAATGCAAACTGCAACCCACAACTCGCACACTGTCAGGTTCGGTTCACTCTTGCATCACAAAGCTACGCATGGTCTCCGCAAAAAGCACCAGAGAGGCAGAGGTGAGGGTGAAACCCTGGCGCCAGACACAGGATGAGAATAACCCTGGAACATCGGGTTCTTCAAATGCGCATGTCTCAAAACTCCAAGAATGATCTTTCTTCTTTTCTGCAGTCTCAACAGGATCAACACTTTCATTCAAAAGGTGCCCATGCTCCAACACCATGTGTTTGCATTTGGGAACAGTCTCAGCATGCTGCATCTGCCAAATAGCACACAGCCCAGATCAGCCCAGGCACATCCGCTGCCCGCCTGCGAACATGCTGTGAGACTAAGCAGTGCCACCTGCGCCTCCTTTGCTTGGAAGGCCTCGATGTACCTGTTGCATCTCCAGGCATAATATATTCGTATTGCTTAACAAAAGTTCAACCCCAAAGAAATACAATAGCCTGAGGCATGCCCACAAAAGATCACACAAGGATACTGTTTGTACGTATCTGTTTGGGAGGGCACATGCGCCTGCAATACAGAACAATCTCGTCCCTGGTAGCCTTCTTGCGTTGTTTGTACCAGCTTTCTTGAGGCTGCATTTTTCCGTACAAGCTATACACACGCAAGTGCAGATTTTGTTCAACAGTTTGTCCTCCGGCATCTCTGGGAAAAACTCCGGCCTCTCAGCTGAACACACAAACGCCCCTATCTGAATCTGGATAAGCCTTCCCATCCCTTGGAGTTTTCATGAGCTTTCCCACTGTTCAGATCTCATCTACGCCAATCTGGCATTGCTCCAGGGGCACTTGGAGCGCTCTGCCATGGGCGTGCTTCCGTCGATGCGGATGTAGGTGACTGAGGCTCGCTGCAAAGAGCCTGGGAGCCGACGCGAACAGATTTATGAAGGCTTCGGCTAAAGTAGGATGTCTGGTGGCAATGGTGGCAAGCTTGATGGAAGTGATAGCCAAAGGCCTTTTCAGGTGACTCGCTTTTTGATTGATCCATAGCACGGGATGTCCATGTGTACTTAGTTGAAAGTAAAGAATTGTCTAAATGCCTTATTATTTCGTCCTGTTTGTACTGTGTACGGTCAGTCCTCTCCCTCCCCTCTTCTCTCCAAACTAATCATTGACCATGGAAAGAAAAACGGTCCAATGAACAGATCGCTTGGATTGAGTTCGAACATAATTCGCCCATATTAGCCCAGTCTTCTTCTTAGCCTGCCTACAGTAGATAGAAACTTGAGGAGGCCAGCTAACACTGCATAAGTTAAGTCATGATCAGTACCCAACAGGTCTTTGGCCACGAGTGTGGAAGACGACATGAACATCCGCATTCGGATGCTTTGAGATACGTCCTTTCCAACCTTTCCAATATTCATAGGTGCTGAATCAACATCTGCCAGGTGAGCTGCTCTCCAACTCATCCAACATCGCCAGGTGATGTGCGAAGACAAGAAATCGGACCTGTGCAAGCTTCTGTGCGCTCGGACACGCACGTAGCACACCATGCACGCCCAATCACACAAAAACTACAGCAATCGAATGCCTGCACGATCAGGTGGGCTGCTTGCCTAAGACCTTGCATAAGAGTTGATCCAAGGGACATCTGCAGAGGTCAGGCAGCTCATGTACTCTGCCACAGCCGTGGACTTGGTCTTTGCAAGCCTCCAAACTTAACCCATGGAGCGGAAACAATGATGAGTCAAGAACCTTGAACCCAAACACATGCTAGATTGACTTGTTTTCATGCTGGGGCGGCTCCACTAAGGCTTAGCAAATGGACCGTGCAAATGTCACGGCAGGCAACAGTGAGCCTCTCAGACTCTTCCTCCACATCTTCCTGGGACAAAGCCAATGCAAAAAGAATCCGCAACACGTGAAACAATGCCTCAGATGCGTCTGCCTACAGTAGCAATCCCAAGACATGATTTCCATGGAGTGACGCGTGCCTCTGGCGGAAACATGCAGCAATGACCACTACTGTAAAAGGATGGTCACCTCAGGATATGTCACACTCCTTCTCAGCAGACGGTGACATATCCAAAAGAACTCGCTGCCGGCGCTTGGCAGGTAGTTCGGACAAAGTGTTCTCCTGACACCACATTCGGCGCAATGGCGGTGGGATTTCTGACACTGCCCCAGGCCAAACAAAACCAATAGGTGGTATGTTCGGCCAAATGGAGAAAAACATGCGAGTTCCAGCGTGAAAGGAGAGAATGAGTAGGATTACTGTAAATAGTGAAAATCAATGAACATCAAGAGTATATATATTCTACCTTGTGTCGCTCCCCAACCGGATGCACATTGTCGAATGTTGGAGTGTCTGCATCGAACATCTTCACCAAAGTTCTTGATTCTTGAATTGAAGCAAACCTCCCCGCCTTGGTCCTGCGAAGCATGGCCGCACCCAGGAGGACGTGAAGCTCATTGAGCCGTGCAGACCGGCCCTGATTTCGGGAGGACGTGCTCGGCGCATAGCGCTGGGCGAAATCCGTGGGGGTACAAAGATCGAAAAGCGCATCCAGCAAAGGATAGGCATCCTGCAGCTGAAGAGAGTCATCGCTTCCCATCAAGCCTGGACACTTAGACCCTCACAGAGAGGAATTCTTGGAGACCTGACCTCACAAAGCAGTCCTGGGTTCGTGCCACCAGCGGCGTCCCAGTGAGGAGTATCGCTCGCATGGCTTTCTTCGCCAGGGGCACGCAAGCTTTGGAGCGCTGTGAGTTTCCACGGAGCAAATGACACTCCTTGGAGAGAGGCAGATTGGGGCGATCTGCGGTTGGCCAATCCGATTTTGTGGATGCAGAAAGTGCCCAAATTCCCCTGGCCTAACTCTTCAGAATGCTGCCCAAGTCTTCTTTTGGGCCGAACCCCAATACACACCCACTCTGGGGAGAAGCCATTTGGGCCTTCTTGCATGCACAGTCAAGAAACGCTTTCATGACCTATCGCCTGCAGTAGGAGTGGGGGCCCCAGGACTCCTGCAAACAAGCTTCATCCAAGATCACCAGGTCAAAGTCTTTGTCATCTTTCCGCTGGAACTTTGGATCCTGAGTCTTCACCCCCGGTAGTCTGCAGCATCCCCCGCACGGTCTAAAATCCATGCACATGCGCTTTATGCGGCGGCCTCTTGAAAAGGGTTGCCGCCAAACAAGTGCAAAAATCCCAATAATTAAGCTAATGCAAGCCTTGCAGCCTTGATTTAAATTTGAGCGTTTGCAAGCTCTCAAACTGACCCTCTGCACTATGAGCGTTTGGCTCGGCCATGCTCAGCCGTTTCAACCAAAGCATCACTGATCAGGTTGTAGGACACCACCACCATTCGAGCCCGTGAAGGTATCGAGTCCTCAGTCACGGAGAGTGGAGATGGTGATTCCAAACGGTTTTACAACCACACACCGCTGGTCCCCTCCATATCTATTGTCCTATTGATTGATATTGCACCCGTCCCAACTTCAATTTCTGTTTTGGGTCCTGGGCAGAGCGGATCAGGACCACATCGTGCGGCTTGAGATCCTCTTTCAGCCAGGCCAAGGCATGCTCCTCGCATGAAGTGACTCACCCCGGGCGAAATGTTCATGGAGAACGCACTCTCTCTTGACATTTGTCATCAAGGTGGTTTTGCCATCAACTCCGATTCTTTTTGGCAGTGTCTGTGTGGGCAGAATGGGAGGTGGATGCTTGTCCACTATCGAAGAATAGAAACAACATACTATATATGCATGACATATTCATTAAATATTATATACATACTGTATTATGCCGCCATCATCTGACTGGACAAATCATAGGGATTCACTGGCTCATTCTACAACCCTACTGTGCCTGCCAAAGCTTGCAAAGCGGCGCTGGGGCGACCACCTTGACTGCTGAGCTGCTGCACAGGTGGGGCTCACTCATTTGACTCACGGTACTCATCTCTTCCTTTGCACAACTGCTGAGGTTCTGCATCCAAGCAGCCAGAAAAGGCCAGGATTCCTTGAAGTGCCTCAACCACACGTGGTCATTGTTGTAATACGGTGAGCGGCCCCACTCAAGCGTACGCATTTCAATGCCGACAAACAAGTGTGCCCAACTATCTCAATCATGTGTCCCATGATCAGGAGACTTTCTCCGCCATGATCACCCTCAAATCCAACAACATCCAACATCCATGAGGTGGAACAATGTCTCCTGTTTTAAGTTTACCGAGATTCCACTTCGGTACAGCAGTCCTCTTTGCCCAAAATCCCAAATAATCCCCACACGACCCACAGGTTGAATCAGAGTAGCGATAAAGAATCTTTAAATCTGCCATGGCCTATCCAGCTTGGGGGTGTGTAGGCCAGCACGGTGACCATGCCCTGACCACGAGCTGAGACCCACCGGACCGACTGCCTCACCAATGCCAGGGTTGTCACGGTCTTCCCCAGGCCCATCTCGTCTCCAAGCAGCAGCCTGCAGCAAACAGGTGTGACTGAGAGAAGCATGTCCCGATTTTTCTTGGGATTTGCAGGTTGCAAATATATGTTGCAGTGGCTGGAAATACCTACCACTGGTTCCGCTCTACATGGAACCTCTGCCTATTCCACAGCCCTACCTCACCGGCAGGATGCCTACCAATGGAAGCCATGGTCTCTTTCATCAAAATGGGTGCCTCAAGCCCACAAACCCTGCATGAAGGTTCCAAAGGTCAGGACCGATTCCTACACAATCAAGAACAATTATCCCCCTCTCTCTCCCTCTCAAGTCTCAAGCATCAAGGTCACTATAAATATGTAAGTCAATCGTATATATATATATATATTAATTATATGCTATGATATGTTATGTATGTAGTCAACCTGGTCTACTGCTTAATTTGATGGTACTTGATGCTCCACTTCCAGGCGATTTTCCACCACTCCAGGCATCCATCTGATCCACCGGTCATTCGATGTCTGTGGAGCGTGCGTGGCGTGTCCAGCCGCCCAAGACCCACAAACGCTGTGAGCCAAGGTTGCCTTGGTGTCCAAACACTATCCAAGCATTTGTGGGAGTGCATCGTCCGCTCCTGGAAGACCATCTGTTCCAAAAAATAAAAGCGGCAAAGCCAGGTTGACCTTTCTTGTTTCAAAGCCGCTAACCTGATGGGCTTGCCTGCTGCCGAGGCATTTCTTCTCAACTACTTGGTTCTCCGAAATGAATTCACCGACCTCGCTATATACTTCAAAGAATTTCAGGCTATCAAAGGCGTTCAGATCATTTCAGATCCAGAAGTCCGGTCAAGACCACATAGACATATCCCAGTGAGTCCAGTTGCCCAACGCCGTGAATCATGTTGCCCCAAAGATATATATAGAAATAAAGAACTGGTAGGAACTGAAGAACTTAGCCGACTGTTTGATAAATGGATGGCGGTCGTCAATAGGTTGGCATGTCCAGCAGTCATTTGTTTCAGGTTTTGGGGGGGCATGTATACCTATTGGTGCTCTCTTTGGAAGGGCTTTCAATGTCTCCGGAGGTTGAGTCATCTTGCGAACCTGTTACCAGGGTGGGGCACAGTAGAAGGATGGATATTTTTTTCGGGTTTTTTCCGGGATTTTTAAAATTTTTTTCCCCTACTGCTTTTGTTTGTTTTTGCTTTGGCTTCTGCTGGGAGTGAGGAGTAGCAGAAAGGGTAGGGGACGAAGCGCCAAAGCCAGCGTGATGGAGAGAAAGGGAGGGAACAGTGGGCTTCACTGGTTTCGGGTTTCTTTAGGCTCGGTTTCTTGTCCTTAGGCGTGCTTTAGGTGTTCTTCCGGCTTAATTCTTTTAGAATTCCTGGGCTTTGAACAAATATATACGTACGCTACCTTCAACTATTTCATGTAGCACGAAGAGAAAGGGAGAGAGAGAGAGAGAGAGAGAGAGAGAGAGAGAAGAAAAACAAAACGAAGGAGAAGGAGCAGCCACTAAGTTTTACCCCTGCATGGCCACAAAAGGGCGAGCCAAGTTGGAATGGCCATTTCCTTCTCTAAATTTTAGCCCGGCATTGCCCACAAAAGGGTGAGGCAGCTTGGAAGGGCAACATCCTTCTCTAACTTGTACCCCTGCATGGCCCACAAAAGGGTGAGTCAACTTGGCATGGCCACTTCCTTCTAAATTTTACCCCTGCATTGCCCACAAAAGGGTGGGTCAAGTTGGAATGACCACTTCCTTTTCAACATTTTACCCCTGCATTAGCCACAAAAGGGTGAGTCAAGTTGAATCTCCACTTCTTTCTCTAAATTTTACCGTCTAAATTGCACCCCTGCATTGCCCACAAAAGGGTGAGGCAGCTTGGAATGGCAACATCCTTCTGTTCGTTTTCTGAAACTTTACCCCCGGGTGGCTCACCAAAGGGTGAGCCAACTTGGAAGGGCGAATTCCTTCTCTAAAATTTACCCCTGCATTGCCCACATAAAGGGGTGAGTCAAGGTGGAATGGCAAGATCTTCTTTAAACTCTACCCTGGGGTGGCTCACCAAAGGGTGAGCCAACTTGGAAGAGCCAATTCCTATCAATTCCTTCTCAAAATTTTACCCCTGCATTAGCCACAAAAGGGTGAGTCAAGTTGGAATGGCCACTTCCTTCTCTAAATTTTACCCTCTAAATTTTACCCCTGCATTGCCCACAAAAGGGTGAGGCAGCTTGGAATGGCCACTTCCTTCTCTAAATTGTACGCTCGGGTTGCTCACCAAAGGGTGGGTCAACTTGGAAGGGCAACTCTCTAAATTTTACCTTGCATGGCCCACAAAAGGGGGAGTCAACTTGGCATGGCCACTTCCTTCTCTAAATTTTACCCCTGCATTGCCCACAAAAGGGTGAGTGAAGTTGGAATGATAACTTCCTTCTCTAAATTTCACCCCTGCATTGCTTACTTCAAAGGGTAGTCAACTTGGAATAGCTGCCACTTGCAGCGGCACAGGGTCTTTACGGCAACCAGCGCAGTGTTGAAAGCTGCCCCCTTGCAGCACCGCAGGCTCGTTAGACCCTGGCCACTGCAAGCAGCGCAGCGGCCACTTGCAGCAGCACAGGGTCTTTACTGCAACCAGCGTAGGAGTGAGAAGCTCGCCGCTGGCAGCAACACACCCTAGCAGCGCAGCTGTGGAAGCTGGCCACTAGACCCCGGCCACTGCAAGCAGCGCAGCTGTGGAAGCTGGCCACTTGCAGCAGCACAGGGCCTTTACTGCAACCAGCGTAGGCTGGCAGCAGCACACACTCGTTAGACCCTGGCCACTGCAAGCAGCGCAGCTGTGGACGCTGGCCACTTGCAGCAGCACAGGATCTTTACTGCAACCAGCGCAGTGTTGAAAGCTGTCCCCTTGCAGCAACACAGGCTCGTTAGACCCTGGCCAAAAAAACAGAAGCAAAGGCAAAAGCAGAACGCCATAAAACAGAAGCACAAGTAGAAGCAAAAAGCAAAAGCAGAAGCAAAAAGCAACTGCAGAAGGAAAAGCAAAAAAACAAAGCAACTGCAAAAGCAAAGCAAAAAGCAAAAAGCAGAAGCAGAAGCAAAAGCAAAAAGCAAAAAGCAGAAGCAAAAGCAGAAGCAAAAAGCAAAAGCAGAAGCAAAAGGAAATGCAAAAGCAGATGCAGAAGCAAAAGCAAAAAGCAAAAAGCAACAGCAAAGGGCAAGAGCAAAAGCAGAAGCAAAAAGCAAAAGCAAAAGAAGCCAAAAGCAAAAGTAGTAGGGGAAAAAATATGACAAAAATTTCCAGAAAAAATTGAAAAATTCACAGAAAAATAGGGGTTCCCAGTAGAATCACACGGTGCGCGGTATGTTTCAGTACCAGTTGCATGCTGCGTCATCCAAGTGATCTTGAACGGAAGCCTCCGAGATCGCGCACATCAGGGAACGGCTAATGAAAAGTCTAAACATGTCTACATAAAGTGCACCTGAACCACAATGGTGCCTAGCCTCGAGGCTCGAGGGCATTCGCCAAACCGCTGGCAGCCCAGCCTGGCTAAGGAATTCATGCCAAGGGATAGTGGCAGGCGAGCGGTGAAACATGTCAATGTGAAACTAGTCTAATCGGCTAAATTCTAAAAGAAAACCCTGGGCCTATAGAGAAGGAAGTCCGAAACGAACAGCAACAACCCCCAAGAGGTTGCTCGAAATGGGCTTCAACTTTGGTGCTGATTGAACGTCCGAATTGTTGAATTGTCTTGCCATATATAAGTGGCCCTTTAAGAGATGAAAGAAGGGCAGCTACCATTTTGGGGTGAGGCCGGCGAGGCCACTCTTTCGTTGCGCGACCACTGCCTGACACCTCGCACATGTGCATCCCAACCCAATAGTGAACAAAAAGGGAAGGAGCACCATCCAGTACCATTGGTGATCAACACCATCTTGCCTGTGTGGCCTGCGACACATCGTGACCCGTTAGCCCATCGGGCCATCTGTTGTGAGTACCGTGCATCTCCTTCACCCCCAGGCCTCAGCTTGCAGCCCGGTTTTGAACTCGTGCCATTGCCTGCGGCCCTCTTCGCCAGCAGCCAGGAAGGCATCCTTAATCTCTGCCTTGCTGCCATTCCTGGGCACAGCAGTCAGCTCGTTGTCAACAGCATCTGGCCGATAATTGCAGTCAATGTAATCAGAGTTCAACAACCTTTAATTCCTTACGAAGCGGTATATACTGGAATCTACTGCAGGAGCTGATGAGACGACCTGCTTGAAAGAAGACACGGCTTTGCTCCCCTCGGCTAGTTCAGTCCCAGATTCGCAAGTAGCTCCAATGAAAAGCTCTCGAAACGATCACTGAGGAAGTGATAAAGGAGGGCCTCAACGACAAGATGGTCTCCAAAGCTGGATTCAACTCTACAGCCAAGCAGTGCGTGAGCAACTGCTTAGACGCCCGAGGCTGTCTCCACAGAATGTGCTGAAGATTGTTGCCCTGGCAGGTCCCCTTGCCCAAAGAGCTCAGCACGTGCGGTGGTTGTGCAACATTATGAGGAGCCTCACTTTTACAGCCAGGTTGGGCACACTGTTGAGCTGTTGCTTTTGGCTGTTGAAACCAAGGTGTTGCAACACCTGTCCAAGCTTGACCAGCCAGACTAACTCTGTCCGTACTCTGATGCTTCTCAATGACCACCAGCAACCCGAAATGCAATTCTTGTAAATAAATTTAAAACACATTAAATAGCATTGGGAGCACCAGTGAGATCAACTTGAGGTGAGAATCCTACGAAGTGTAAGCCAAAACACCGGTCTGTGGTGAAGTGAGGCCCAATGCAAGCTCAACGGCAGTAAGGCACAAGGACCTCCAAACTCGAACTCATCAGGGATCCAGGCCTCCACATACCTGAGCATCCACGCTTCCACATCATGCATGGTAGGACTGGGCTCTGCTTGAGGGCGATCAGTAAAGAACACGTACGTTTGCTTTGCGCCTCATTCAGCCCACAAAGGGACAAGACTTGTTCAAGATTGTCAAGTCGAGTGATCCTGACATCTGA